GTGTGTGTGTGTATATATATATATATATATATATATATATATATATATATATATATATATATATATATATATATATATATATATATATATATAAATCAGTACACACCTCAGCTGGTTTTATATTTATTGCAAAAATTTTTGACTTTTTTTTAGGACTTTGCAGTGTTTTCTGAATAATGGCGTGAAAATTAGAGATTCCTAAAATGCCTTTGAAAAAATCATTGACCCTACTGTATCAAAAAAAGAAATAACAAGATTATTGAACATGATTTCTAACACTGTTTAAATTATTTTCCTTAGTGAAGCACGTTTCTTTAAGTACTGCCTCATTTTGCATATTTAAACTCAACATTTGAGAAAACGTATACAAAAAACTAGCAATTCTAACCGTGTTAATCAACTTGGAAATCTGGTGATAATCATCAATTATATTATTTTACCCTATTCACCTGATAGAGGTAAAGTTGGTTTTATATTCGGATATTCAGACATTCTCCTTACTAATAATATCTCAGAAAAGTAATCTGTGGAAAGTCTAAATAAGGAAATCATATGAGCAGCAAATGACCATTAAAGTACAGCATTGTTCACAGTCAATTAGAAAGTGTTAATGTTGTTTAGAAGTCATACTTGCATGCTAATTTTGATCAAATATTCAACGTAACATGGTTAACAGTATAGACACTGCTGAATTAATAAATGTGCGCATATAAAACCAACTTTACCTCTATATTCACCTGCTGTGTCAACGCATCAGCCATTATTTTTTTTATTTAACAAATATTGACAGATTTATATTCACAAAATTGGACTTTCTCCTTAATAATATACTTTCAGTAAAGTATTATTTGCTAATTCTAAATAGTGAAATTATATTAGCTGCCAATGACTATCAAAATACAACCTTGTTCAGTCAAATAAACAGTGCTAAGTTTGTTTACAAGTCATTCTTAAATCTGATTTCAGAATTCTCAAAGTACCACGGTAAAAAAGGGAAGCATGTCACAAGTTGTCACTGAACAAATGTCCGAATATAAAAGCAACTTTACCTCAATAACTTTAGTTTAGTATCAGTACGTTTAATGAATGACATGTAGCATAAATCAGTGTTTTTACACTTGTCAACAGAGTGCTTTTCAGACTTCGTTTAACCTTCCAGATATCTAAATCACTTATTAACATTTATATATTCCTGTTTATTAAAGCATGATGGTTGTTGATTAGTAAAGTCACATGAAAACAATAATGTGACATTAACTGTGGCTACAGGTAGTGATGAAGATGCCTCACTGACCATCAAATTAACCTGTCAGTATTAACGTCATGTCATTCAGACAAAGATGGACGACAGAAACATGTACAGGGAAGAGGATTGTAACTTTTCTTACCCTTTAACCACGAAAAAAGGATCCTCCATCGACATATTAGCCCCTCTTGCTCAGGAGCTGCGTGAAGTCAACGACAAGACGGGTTTTGTAAAACATGCACGGAAGATTGAGCTTTCAAAATAAAAGTCTTTGAGCTTTAAATGTCAAATAAAAGTACTCTGGTTATGAATGAGGTACATCGGTGATTGTTGGGGAAAGAAAGAAAGAAAGAAAGAAAGAAAGAAAGAAAGAAAGAAAGAAAGAAAGAAAGAAAGAAAGAAAGAAAGAAAGAAAGAAAGAATACTAAAATGCTGTTGTAACCAAATAACCTATAATAGTTTAATACATTTAATTACTTAAATTTATCTGTATTTTAAACATTATACAAAATATTTAAGAAGATCTAAATATTTTAAGGAAAATTTTTCTGAAATATTCACTAGAATGATATACAAATTTAAGGTAAATGATTAATTAATCATATTAATAATTTTGTTAATAACAGTTCTGTCTGGTTCTTGAATCTGATTGGCTGATAGCCGTGCGAATTTCTGCTAATAACAGCACTGTACAGCCTTTTAACCCTTCAGCGTTGTGTATTCCTCCGCTCACATACAGCCACAAGCAGAGGACACTCTACTGTTTGACAAATATTGCAGCTGTATGACAACATAATGTACTTTTGAGGCCTTTTTAGTTGAGAATGTTGTTGTTTAGATTGTAACTATGCAGTTTATTTTTAAGGATAGTACCAATTTTAAAATATTTAGAATTTCTGAAAAACTGCGTCGGCGGCCATTAGCCTGTCTTTGAGCAAAAATGATTGACCATGTTCATCCACAAGATGTCGACAGAGACTGCATAATAAGCCCTAAGAGAAAAAGTGTAAATACAGCTGATCAAATCACAGGTAAATGACTTTCTAAGTAAGTCTAATTTGTATGTTGTAGTGCTGTATTTATACCAAAGTAATATTGTGATCTCCCGATTGCAACAAAGATACACTGGGAAATTTCTGTAGACTGATGGCATTTCATGCTGTTCAGCCTTATAATGTTAAAATGTGAGCAAAATCACCTGTTTTGTCATCACTTCAGACATTACACATCAGAATCATTCAAATACTAGCTCTAAGTGACGTTGGTGAACTGGCAATGGTTTCTGATGTTCTGATGTCGGCTGCAGATGTGTATCAATAGTGTGAGAAAGTAGTTCTTCTTGCAAAAGGATTTGAAGAATCTCTGTGTTTGATTTTCTTTTTTATATACACAATTATGCTGTCAAACTGTTGTATAAACAAAATATCACACTCATAACAGTGCGATGTGGCTGTAGGCTGGCACTCGGTCGCGCACGCCTGGCCGATATACCAGTGACGATATACAGCCACATTGCACTGCTACTCGAGTAATATTGCTCATATATATATATACTCAGTGCATCACTTAGCGGGTTTCCACACAAGTTTCTGCATCTTGCTTATATACACTATGAACAGCAGCTACGCTAATTATTTTCTTTTTTTTTCTCCATTTCCACCTGGGGACACTCATCCCGAGGTCCTCAGATTATGTGAAGTCACTGATTGGATCCAAGACCAGCGAGCGACGTGATGATCCCAAGGTTTCCATATCCGGGACCAGGCCGTATCCTGAGCAGCTGCTGCGCCGGTCATGGAGGAGTGGAGAACATGAGACTGATTCCAGTGATGATCCAGGGACAGACGAGTGAGGCTAGCTCCCAGCCTCCACCACTGAGACTGCAGCTCTGCACAAGACTTTTGGCCAGCAGAGAAATTAAAATGTCTGTTTAATCTCAAGGTTTTTTTTCTTCACTCGCCTCAGTGAAGTTTTTTTTCCCTCTCCGCTGTCGCCACTAGCTTGCATGGTTTGGGATTGGTAGAGCTACACATCTATGAATTTGCTCTTCAGTGTTTGGACTCGATTTTAAACCACACTGATCTGAGCTAAACTGAACTGAACTTAAACACTAAAAACTGAACTACCCTGATCCACTTACTATGACCATTTATGTGAAGCTGCTTTGACACAATCTACATTGTAAAAGCGCTATACAAAAAGCCAAAAATCTGAATTGTGTATGTATGTATGTATGTATATATATATATATATATATATATATATAGGGTTGTAATTGTACATTTGTTACCATTATTGCCTTAATATTTTAATGTATGTGTAGCAAATATATTCAAAAAACATTTTAGTAAAACTGTCTTTTTAAATAATCCAGTTGCCTTCTCTCCTGTTTTCATTCATTTACCCACTCAGTCATTAAATTATTTACAGTATTTATTTATTGCATAAGAAAAACCACACATCAATAAAACTTATTTGTGATAAATTCAGCTGCATTTTTTGCAAGTATAAATTACTTACCCAGCAGATAATTGTTATTTTTATGTCAGAAATTATAACAAAATAAGGCTAAATCATTAACTAGGTTGCAATGACCTGTTTATATAGCATGTATGCTAAATTCGGCATATTTGTAATCTTGGATTAATGTTTAATGTAAAGAAAAGAAACCAAAAACATTCCACATGACTTCAGTGTTTCAACTGTAATCATACAAAGTAATCCTACGCATACAGAAATGACTTTGACGAATAGACCTTGACAACATTAGAGGGAGAAATAGCTAAATTTTATTATTATAATTTTTTTTTAATATCCACAATTGTTTCAAGTGTCTAATTCCATGCATAATGCAAGTTTTGAATACTTCATCCAGAAGACAAAGTGCTTCCTCTTTGGCTCCGTTACCTCATCCATGAACAAGCAGAAATGCCATATTTTTAGCTTTGTTTGTCACTCACTTCATAACAGGCCTGTTAGCACACATTTGTTGCGTTCCTGACCTGATTCATAATTTATTCGGTTAGGTAACTGGCCTACATGCTTGACGCTCAGAGCATTACACCTGCAAATCTAATGACTTGTGGGTGACCATAATTTGTATTTTTATGTAAACGGTATGTTTTCATTTAGTTATCCACTTATATCTACAAGTGACTGTGTTTCAAATTATGGGTTGCACTTCCTGTTTGGGGAACTTCCATTTAAAAGAAGTGAAACAACCATTTTGAAAAATAAGGTTTGGAAATAATGTGACATCTAACCGAGATCTTTAGCTTTGTGCTTTATTTTTTAATGTCTTGAAAAAAAATGTTATGTTTGGCAATTTATGTGGCATTAGTAGTAGGTTATCTGTCTCCAAAACTATTTTGAGTTCATTGTATTTTTCCTTCAGATTGATATTCTGTTAATGTTCCTAATACAACCATCAAATCAGTCAAATTAGTATTAATACTATTTGGGTGTGTGTAAACAGGCTAATACTCATAATAATATGTAAAGGTCCATCTTTGCGTCATAACACAATGATGTCTTGAGCATACAGAGACAGGAAAGCAATCAAATAGTCTTGTTATAAATCTGTGCATTCTTAAAGTGACACTTCTCTTATGTATTGTTAAACAAGAAAATCTAAATAAGAGATTAATTCGCTGCTCTTGACCAGCTACTTTCTTATCCTTTATTTTCACAGTGCAGTGTTGAGGTATGGGCTGAAAGTAGTTAATAATTGTAATGAATTGCCTCTTAACCCTTGTGTGCTGTTGGGCATATTTTCATCCACTCTGGGGTGATTTTGAGACTTAATTTGGCCACAACTTTCTCTGTGTTTGATGATTTGATCTTTGGTGACAAATCTTATTTTGACATGTTTTAGGAAAATGCTTTGGATATTTAAAAAGGTTCAACAACACACTCTGGGCAAATTTACTACCCTTTTATTACGTTGGTGGCTGTTTTTGCGCCATTGTCTTCCATTATAATGATTTTTTTTTTTTTTTTTGCAAAGCCAATACAGCAAATAATCATGCATTCTTGGTTGTTGCTGGTTTTCCCTGTTGTGAAGTGGTAAAATGTTACATTTTTACTGTTGATCATCCATTGCAGTAGTTAGTAGTTTTTAGCTAAGAATTAAAGAGCCCATATTATACATGAAATAGGGTCATATCTTGGTTGTAAGGGTCTCCAACAACCGTTTAATATGCATGCAAGGTCAAAAAACACTTTTGTGGTCTTATAATCTGCATTTATTTTTACCCAATTATCCCAGCGACTCCTGTATGAATCGTCCAGTGATTCATTTGTTCCCAAACCCCTCCTAAGCGCGAAGCTAATCTGCGCTGATTGGACCGATGACAGTCTGTTGCGATTGGTCGACTGCCTTCAGTCAGAGAGCGAAATGCCAAACAGCTAATCAGCAATATAAAAGTAATCACAGTTCATACACGCTCGATAGTGTAGGCGTGGATTTTAGCTGCCAGTGGGTCAATGTAAATAGACTATGGACTTGAAAATACAGACAACTAACTATTTTATTGAGCAAAAACTCAAAATCAGTTGAGGGATCTCCTAGCTTCTCACTCTGCTCTTTTCACAGACACACACACGCATATTGCACACACACACACACACACACACACACGCACTTAACCCTGCTCCGGACGACAACGCGCGCGCACACACACACACACACACTCACACACAAACACACACACCTCCGGACGACAGCGCGCGCACACGCACACGCCCTGACGCAGATTCCCGAGTCTCTGTGGTCCAATCAGGTGAGCCCTCCTCAGCGCTCGCCATGACAGCGAGACAACAGTGACGTGCCTTGTAAAAATTTGCATATGCATTCCTATAAAGCTCGTGTGCTCTGTCAGCGAGGCGGCCTTTGAGCCCTAGGCAGGGAGCAAACAACCCCCGAGGACCCTCAGGGAAAGACGGGCGGCTGGTAGTGGGACCTCGCTGCGAGGGTTATGGTGGGTGGGAGTAGCGAGGCCCACTCATCTTCTATTTTAAACTATAGTTTCAACCTTTAGTTTACTATAGTTTGAAATAGAAACCATTGTAACTGTTATGATTAAACCTTTAGCAAAGAGCTTAGAATGACCAAGAGCAACAGACCCGGATTCCGCCAGTTTCAAGTGATAGCGATCGCTCGTCATTGCTGTCGCGATGGAAAGCAGCTGCTTTGTTTTTATTTATTTTATTCAAAAAGCGCGTTATTGTTTCCCAAATTGTAGAGTGTCGCCTCTTGGTAATTCTATGCTCTTTGCTCCATGTCTGACTGTTGTAATGTTTTGCTTTGTTTTTCAGCTCAGTTGTTGAGCAAAGAAGGACTATTGAAGACAACAGTTGAAGACAACCGCGGGTTATATTCACGAGCGCGCGCATTATAATGTTTCCGGGCTGTTTTCTGAAAGTGTGTCTTGTTTAGATAAGTTTGCATGTCAAACTAAATAAACTATACTCTTTCTAAACACCTGTCTCGTGTTTTATTTGTCCTCTACAGCAATGCACTGTCATATAACAACTATTTATTTGTTAGACTTCTGTATTGTCAAACCATGTTGCATACAAATGCATTCAACAGACCTATATGACAGTGCATTGCTGTAGAGGACAAATAAAACACGAGACAGGTGTTTAGAAAGAGTATAGTTTATTTAGTTTGACATGCAAACTTATCTAAACAAGACACACTTTCAGAAAACAGCCCGGAAACATTAT